CCACTCTCTGGGCCCAGTCATCCAGCCTGTTTTTAACCCAGTGAAGGGTGCACCAGTCCAAGCTGTGGGCTTTTCCAGGAGGATGCTGAGGCAAACAAAACAATATAATGTAGCATTGTTAGCATTGTTTAGTGTGTGCATATGTGTGTGTATATATATATATATGGCATGGATATACGGGGGTGGAAGGGCTGTAACCTTTACAAAGCTATGGCTACTCACAGAGAAGCAAGCCCTCCAACAGGATGTCATCCACTTAAAACTTTCTTCAACGTGAGCAGATTTTTGCCCGAGAAACTTAGGTTTGCATTAATCCCAGAGCAGGGCTGGGTGCACAGAAAAGGTGGCAGTAGAGCTTTCCCATTCTCCTTTCAGAGAACGAACCTCTGCCACCAACGGGCCCCAAGCCTCCCACGGCCTGTTCCTGACCCAAGGGCTGGCTCAGGTTGCTGAGGCCTCCAAGGCTCAGCACTGCAAAAAGCAGCTTCGTTTTTAAGGGAAGGATGCAGGCACAGGAGAGGCACAGCGTAAAGACAAGGCGTTCTGCAACACACAGCTCTTGCTCCTATCCCCATGTGCAACAGCAGAGAAGGGAGACCCGTCCCAGGGGAATAGCACTCCCCAGTCAGGCGCAGGATGGGAATTTTGAGGCCCCACCCATTTCAGCTGCCTCCTCCCCGCTGCTCTGGGGTGAAGCAGCCGGCTCAGAGCATCACTGCCAAGCTCCACGCTCCTCACGGCTGAGAGGGGACCAGTTAGCTCAGTGGTTTGAGCGCAGTGCTGGCAACAAGGACCAACACCAAGGTTCGATTCCCGCTCGGTCCCCATGTGTTGCCTGGTCTAGTTGAGAGGTGGCATCCCTGCCCATGACAGGGAGGCTGGACTAGATGATCTCTAAGGTCCCTTCTAAGAGACTGAAAATTAGGAAATGTGCACAGCATATGGCGACTGCATGGGACCTCCTCCACTTGAGAAACCGGCTGGTACCCACAGCTGGGTATCCAGGAGCACTCACGTATGTCTGGGGATAAAGTTCTACAAACCCTGACCTGTATGACAAACATTCTGCTGATGAGTGACTTCCTTTCTAACACGATAGGTTACCTGCAGAACTATACAGCAAGCCTTGAAGGGAAAAAAAAAAGAAGCAAAACTATGTAGGCACGCGTTTATTTTTTTTACTAAATGGACACAAGAACAGCACAGTTCTTTAAGTTACAGATTTCAACAAAAATCTAAGGATAAGATAATGGAAATGTTCCTTTATGACAGTATAATGCATTGAAAAGAAAAAAAATTAAATTACAAATCCTCAGGCAAAATCTTGTTTGCATCTACCCACGTTCTGCACTGGCTGGAAGCTCTCTGGTCAGCTGGTTAAACGTTGCATCCATGCAAATAAACCCTGACAAGAGGCAGGACACTACCAAGGCTCACACAACTTCCAGCTGGTGTGGAATAGAGTTAGAGGTTCTTCTTTTCCATTCAAAAAATATACTGGTTTTGCATACTCCGTATCACACTAAATTTTTATTCGTAAGACAGAAATACTGGGGGGGAAAAAAAAAAAAAGAGACTGAAAATTTAAATCTATTTTTTCCTCCACCAGAAACACGCAAGAGTATAAAACAACTGCACTACAGGTACATACAACTACCATTATCACCTCCTGTCTTGTTTCGGCCGGATGTTCTCAACTTCATGCTAAAAGGCGGGAAGCATGCTCCCGGTTCGCCCACCAACCTCTGCACAAACGTAGTAAAAAACTCAGACACCCCTAAATCAGCCCCACAGCAATGTACTGTTAGAGCAAGATTGTTTTACTGCAGCTCAGCGGTTTTGTCTCAACCACCAGGAACAAGATATTTTGACTGAAGTCACCCCTAAGCAGTTGGATTCTTTTAAAAGGCCGTTCATTTTCTACACTTTGAAAAGAAACTCGATTACAAACACAGATTTGGGCTTGCTTGCTTTAAAGGAAGTGGTAGCCTAACGATCACGGAATGGAGTTTGGCTCCTTCAAACGTTCCTGGAGGGAGAAAGGTGCAATAATTTGCGTGAAGTATCAAACTAAATTTCTTTTCTTTTAAAAAAAAAAAAAAAAGAAGCACAAAAGTCTCCACAGCGAGGACACCGTTGCAATCCTCCACTTTGAGAAAGCAGGAGGTGAAATCTGCCTCCCAGCAGGCAGCTCATACAGACCCCTCTGAGTTCTTGGCTTAAGACCTGCTTTCAGGGACCTGCTCAGTCCCGTCTGGAAAGGTCCTGCTGGAAGCAGAACTGTGCTTGTGCAGCGTTTAGCAGGTCACTCACACAACACAGAGAAGCCACATCCATTTAGGGGGATTTCATCTTAAAGCGGATGTCCAGATGTTTTTACACTTCTTTAATTCTAATGCGAAGCTCTAAAGATTTAAATTACAGCTTATAAAACTTTCCTTAAAAAAAAAAAGAAAAAGTACTTCATTGAGAATTCCTATGTTTAGTTCAAGAACTCAATGGCAGGGCTTGAAAATAGCTTTCCAAAGAACAATTTATTTTGGTGGGTCTGTATTAATTCCGTATTTTTCCTTGAGAAGCTTAAGCTGTTCCTCTTTCTTCTTTGTGTCCATCTTTTGGAATGCCTGTAATTAGGAAAATAAAATGTGAGGAGAAAGGAAAAAACACCTCATGACATTTTATTTCCCTGTAACCACAAATAAGACCACTACAAACTACCTCAGCATCACACACAAATGACATCACTCAATTCTTGAACACCACAGCCCCCTGGACACCACCAGGAACCAGCAGAACAGCAAGAACTAGAGACATTTTGCCTGTAAACAAGATCTCACGTTCTGTTGCAACCATAGAATTTTAAGGCCCCTGCTGCTTCTTGTCCAGAGCGTGCTCACCAGGAACAAGTTTTTCATGCTCTTGATCCAAAGATATGTTTTTTGCCCACAAATCGCCACATAAAGATGAAATCCCAACAATTTATCCAACCCATTCCCTCTGCCAGTTTGGATTTATTTCTTCAAAATATCCAAGCAATTGTCTTCAAAGTGAATTTTTGTTTGTGCTAGCTATGTTCACAGGTAACTTAAAAAAAACCAACTAAACCAAAGTGTACCTACCCTGTTTGCATTATAGTACAAAACAACGAGGTATCTGTTACACACATTGAACCCCGACAGGTGATCACAAGCGTTTTTTGCATCAAAGATGTCTTCATAGACCACATAGGCCGTTCCTCTCGTTTCAGGAGTGTTTCCGCTGCAAAGCAAGATGCGTTTTAATGTTGAACAAAATGAACAGGAAATAGCTCCATTAGTCTTTAGACTGAGATTGGATCAACTAATGCAACTTCATTAAAAAAAAAAAAGTATTGTTAATTTTTTTCTAGATATTAAAATACATCCCTCTTCTCCACACCAATCTCTGCTCACAGGTCGAAGTCCGAGACGATAAGAAAACGTGACAGAGTCACGTGCTGCATGATGCTCCAAAGGGAATTCAGCACTCCACAACAACTACCAGAAGCTCTTGCTGTCAGGGGTTGTCCCATTTCTGGAAATACTTTAAGTTTTTATTACAGCAATTAGCTTGTTTTATTTAATATTTCAAGACCAGGCTGTCAGTTAATGACTGTCTGGATCAGATGTCTCCCAGGGATGGAATACTGCTTTCTGCACATCACAAAGTCAATTTAAAAGAGTCTAACCAGCCCCGCTGGTGCAAGACCACTTCAGATGCACAGCCATCACCTATCAGGCCATCGTCTCCATGTCCTTGGTCTGAGGCACAGGAGACACGTCTGGGCACATCACGCTAATGAGCCCGGAGAGACTGCAGAGCTCAGAAATCCAAACTATCTTTGCTAAAAGACAGTTATAGCAAACTTAATCATCAGAAGAACTCTACGGTGCTTGCTTCTAAAGACAGAATTCCCGAGGACAAACAACATTTCCCATATCCACACCGGGATGAGTACAGAAACAAAGAGGAGAATGGGATAAAAGCAGCACAAAGCACAAAAGTCATTACAAAGGGAGTTCGTGATGATGTCAGGATTTCTATGGAAAAGAGAAATCAGTAGTTCTGACCGATCAGCAGGGAGGCTGCCCGCAGCTCCCCGTCAGACACATGCACCAGCACACTGGCCGGCCAGAAAGCTCCCCTGAGAGGTCTTCATTCTTTATGTCCCACTGTTCCAGACCACGCACTTTTGAAACCCTAAAAATTAGTTCTCCTTTCTGTTTATTAGTGAAGGATTCCACCTATTTAGCCACGCAATAAGCTTATGCTGTCCTTCACTCCTTTAGACACTTCCCCTGGCACTTCTGCTGCACTTCCCTGCACGAGAAGGATCTCTCCAGTCACATATTCCAACACAGTATCAGCAGCACATGTGTCCCGTTCGCCTTCTCCTCCCTGTCCTTGGTTGTTCACTGAGGGCAATTCTAGATATAAAACTCAATGTATTCTACACACTGCACAGTAATTTTCTATCACTACAGCTCTGGAATGAGCTTATTTACATTCAGAATAGTCAAAATAATCAAACATATTGTGGATTGATGACCCACTTTAGTCTCAGAGCATGTGCAAATGGAGAGGGATATAACTGACGAGGATACTCGAAGTCCCACAATCACAGAATGGCCTAGGCTGGAAGGGACCTTAGAGATCACCTAGTCCAACCTCCCTGTCATGGGCAGGGACGCCACCTCTCGACTAGACCAGGCAACACATGGGGCCTGCTCTAATCCAATCAGCAACCTAGTCAACAACTCAGATGCTCCACGTTATTTTACCACAATCTGGATAAAAGCAGTATCAAAACCCCCGTATCAAATATGAACTACATTTCCCTTCTGTTTGCACATCCATTGAAAGGTGACTTGTACGATGTTTTCTTTTTAAGTATGAAGCACCAAACTTTGTTCCTACCTAAATACTTTCCATAAGGGGGGCAAAGAACAATTTTTTTTGAGTGTCAATACTCCACCCAGCCTTACTACAGGTCTGAAAAGCTCTTCCTGAATTCAAGCTTCAGTCAACTCTTCACACTCAAATTTTAGCAAAACATAATACCAACAAGATGAAATTGTAGTTTAGTCAACAGCATTCAGCCAGTACTCAGGACAACAAGGACCATAAGAGCTCAAGCCTTCAGTGTTTGAAGTAACTAAGAGAAGAAACTCAGATTTGCTCAAGCATCTTCAAACAAAATTCCAGTCAGATTACCATTATCCATGGACTGTGTGGCTCAGGGACAACCTGCATCTGACACACTGGGAGGTGTTCCTGGTAGCTGTTTCTGGGCAATGGGTCCAGGAACAACAGCCACATCTCTATCTTCCCGTTAGCTATCTAATACTCATTAACTATGAACACAGACTGTATTAAACTTTGGCCTTTCTTATTCTCCCCTTTACTTAATAGTTTAAATGTACTTACAGTTTACTTAAAATAGTCTCTCATTTTTACCAATTTATCTAAGCTCACATCAAGTTTAAGCTTTTTTGACACTACCTACCAACAATATTATCTTCTAACAGATTCAGACACACGAGAAGTACAAAGGGATACTGCTTACGTGCACTTTGAGCTGCGAAATACAGTTGCTACCTACTGCAGCAGGAATACTGACATACAACCGACAAACTACAGCACAGGCACTAGAATACTTACACTCTGATCTGTCGAATAGGCCCATATTTCCCAAAAATGTCATACATCTCCTCCGCTGTGATCTTATAGGGCAGGTTCCTGATATACAGGATCCGATTCACCTCCGGCGGCAGCCGAATCTGAACGCAGAAACATCACAGGGCGCGTTAGTTCCGAGGCGCTCGCTTCAAACCCGAATAGCAGCGGCCTACGTGCTAATCTTTGGGGCTAAAACCACTGGGAGAGGCCGTGCGCTTCACGGCTCCGTTTCTAACTCTCCACAGCTACAAACGTGACGTGTCTGTGTC